CTGCTGGGGGTGCACACGGGTTCTAGTTTCTCCCATCCTCATCAACACTTGTTATTTTTCTGGGGGGTTTCTACTAACTATCCTGACAGAAGTGACAGCATAACTTTTATTTCATCATTTTTGCCAACAGCCATTCTTTCCTTAATGTTGCAAGTGCTTCCCCGAGGAAAGAGAGTGAAAGCCCTATCCTGACACAGACGCACATGTCAAATTCTGTTTTTGCAAAGAGGAGGTGAGGTGGCCCAGGCACACTAGAGGAACACGACAACCCATGTTTCCCAACACGCTACTCATGTACTGTTTCTGACTGCCTGGTTTCTAGATCAACCACCCAATTCCCACAAAATGGTATCAGCAGGAAATGAGTGAAGACGGTTTCAGTGGAGGCCACGGGGACAGAGGACAGTGAGGAGCCTCCCAGAGGACAAAGCTGGATATGGAAAGAAAATGAGCCACCTTTACTCCCTATAACTTTTTCAATCTTGCCCCTCAGTCTTTGGCTTCTGGATAGTAGCAATGGGAGGGATGGGAAGAAAAACTGTTTCAGCTTGAGGGGTGGGCTTTTGGCTGCAAGTATCAAAAAACCCAAATGCAAGTGGGTTTCAATGATACCCATAAATAAAGTTGACAATTTATTCTTTTACATACCAAGAAATGTCATGGTGTACAGAGTTTTTTCATCTTTTATGCTCTGCCATTCTTGGATGTTGAGTCACAAGGTAGGTGCAGAAGCTCCAGATATCACCTTTTCACTCACACTCAAATAGAGTCAAGAAAAGAAATTATCACCCTAGCTGGGGTGGCTCAGTGGATTGGGCGCCAGCCTGTGACTCAAAGGGTCACTGGTTCAATTCCCAGTCAGGACACATACCTGGGTTGCAGGCCAGTCCCCAGTGGGGGGATGCATGAGAGGCAGCCACGCATTGGTGTTTCTCTCCCTCTCTCCCTCCCTTCTCACTCTAAAAATAAATAAATAAAATCTTTTTTTAAGTAAAATATATACATAATGTCTCTTCTCACAGCTTCTTTAATGCAAGGAAACTGCAGAATCCCCCTTTGCTGATTTTGCTCCCACTCATAGTGGACAGAACTGAGTCATGTGCCCTTTAACATCACTCTCTAGCAAGAGAATGGAGTGATTATGTTTGGCTTGTAATAATCAAAATTCTTATCTCTGGGGCTAGCAAAAGTCCAACTCCTGAGATCTCCCAGAGACCTAATCTAAAGCAGGGTTCTGTTAGCAAGAAGTAAGAGAGAAAATGGATGCTGAGTTAGCCAACCTATACCGTAGGCTCTTCCTCGAGTTCACACCGGGGAGAAGAAGGCCCTCGATGTGCCTCCTCCCCCACACACACATCCCTTGTTAGTTATCTATTAGTTAGCTATTAGTTATGTATCGTGGCATAACAGATTACCCCACAGTCAGTGACTTAAAAGCACATGTGTTTATTATCTCAAAGTTTCTGTGTGGTAGGAATCTAAACACGGCTTAACTGGGACCCCTGCTTCACACTATCTTATTTTGTCCAGGGCTCAGTTCTTATCTGAAAGCTCAAATGGAGAAAACTCTTTTCCTAATTCTCTTCTTTGTTTGTGGGCTGGAGTCAGTTCCTCAAGAGCTGCTGGGCTAAGAGCCCCAGTTCCTCCCCGTTGGCTGGAGGCCACTCGAACACAGAACTTGCTCCGTCAAAGCTGGCAAGGGGGAGAGGTGCTAGCAAGACAGAAGTCAGAGGCCTTGTGGCTTGATCATGAAAGTAACATCCCCTCAATATTTCCATATTTTGTTGGTCAGAATCAAGTCACTCGAAGGGAGGAAAATACATGAGGTCATGGGCACCGACAGGTAGGATCCCTGGAGACCATCTTAAAGGCCCACTCCTCCCTCTGCCCACTCTTATAGATTTCAGGGTACCAGTGCCTGACCACTTGTTTCCCCAGCATCCACCTCCACCCTCTCCTCTCTCCTCCTGGTACAGAAAGGCTTTCCCCGCCCCTTCCTGAAGGAGGCGTCACTCTCTTTTGGTCACAGGACAACAATAGCAGAATAATTCCCTATTTAATGGGGAAAAGGAGAAGATTTCAACAAGCATATCTGTTTGGGTTTTTCAGACTTTTAGCCCTTTGAGAGTCACATCGTCATATGCACGCCGAGCTATGCTAAATGAATGGCAGAGTTAGAAAGCAAAGAAGCAAGGGGAGGTATCTCCAAGGCGAAGCACAGGGGTCCGCGTGAGAAGGCAGCATTGCCACAGAGGGTGGTAGGTTTCCCTAACATGATCAGAGGTGGGTAGAGAGGGAGAGTTCTCAGATTTTTCTCTCTCCTTTTTTAAAAGAGATTCTACTTGTAAGTTTTTCAGCCAGGATCTAACAGGAAATGAGTGACACACTCCTAATGGAAAACACAGGGACAGATTCTTAAAGGGGCTGTTCATGAAGGTGAGAGCAGAGTGAGGGGCTAGTGAAGCAGCCCAGAGCTAGCAAAACTGGAGAGCTATTAACACTTACAGTGCCTGAAGGTGCACAGGACAGCCACCCAGAGAAAGCAGCTATGTGGAAGGAACCGTGGTCTCTGCCTGAGAGAGCAGCCACTCATGCCAACCAGGTAGGCAGCAATCTGGGAGAGTACAACCCTGACCTTCTCTCCTCCTGTCCTCTGCCTCCTGCCTGTTCCCGCCATTGGCCAAACCCAACCGAAAGCCAGAGGGCAGAGAACTGTCAGCCTGGTCCATACAGGTTGCAGGTTGGTCTGCTGAGACTCGGAGCAGAGCAGAGAAGGGGGGACACGTCAGGACAAGAGGAAGGTGCAGCACATTAAACACAGACCATAGTTTCCTGGGAGATGTGGCAGGAGACCCACCAGCAGTGTTTAGCTTGATTTTTTTTTCTAGTTCCTTGAGGTATAAAGTTATATTGTTGATTTGGGACCTTTCTTATTTTTTAATGTAAGCACTTACCGTTATGAGTTTCTCTCTGAGCACTGTTTTTGCTATATCCTGTAAGTTTTGGTATATTGTGTTTTTATTTGCATTCATCTCAAAGTATTTTCTAATCTAACTCATAATTTCTTATTTCTGTTGGTTAAAAATGTGTTGTTGCCCTTGCTGTGGTTGGAGCATTGTCCAGTACACCAAAAGGTTGGGGATTCGATCCCCGGTTAGGGCACATGTCTAGGTTGCAGATTCAATCCCGTCGGGGCGCATATGGGAGGCAACCAAGCAATGTTTCTGTCTCCTGTAGATACCGCTCTCTCTCTCTCTCTCCCCTCCTCCTTCCTCTCTCTCTAGAATGAATAAACATATACATTCAAAAAAAATGTTTTGTTTACTTCTGGCTGATGTGGTTTAGTGGACTGAGCACCAGCCAGCAAACCAAAGGGTCAACAGTTTGATTCCCAGTTGGGGCACATGCCTGGGCTACAGGCCAGGTCCCTGGTTGGGGGTGGGCAAGATGCAACCAATAGATGTGTCTCTCTCACATTGATGTTTCTCCCCCTGTCTTTCTCCCTCCCTTCCCCTCTTTCTAAAAAAAAAAAAGTAAGTAAATAAAATCTTTTAAAAAAATTTTAAAGAATGTGTTGTTTAATTGCCACATATTTGTGAAGTATCCAGTTTTCCTTCTGTTACTGATTTCTCATGTCATTTCACTGGGGTCAGAGAAGATAGTTTGGCTGATTTCAGTCCATCGCCAGGGTTTAATTATACAAAAGTGAACTACAAAACCACAGTGAGATACCATTTGGCATCGAGTAGGATAGCAATAAATTTTTTTAATGGAACATAACAAGAGTTGGCAACCATGTGTAAAAACTGCAATGCTCATACACTGCTGATAGGAACATACAGTGCTATGGAAAGCAGTTTGGTGAATCCTCATGAAACAAATAATTACCTTATGATCCAATAATTCCACTCCTAGGTACCGACCCAAACAACTGAAAACAGGGACTCACACAGATGCTTACATGCAAACAGTCATAGCAGCATTGTTCACAGTAGCCAACAGGTAGAAACAACCCAAGTTTCCTAACAGATAAATGGATAAGCAGAATGTATGTCCATGCAATGGCAAACTCAGCCATCAAAAAAATGAGGTTCTGATACATGTTACAACTTGGATGAACCTTCAAAACATAAAGCTAAGTGAAATAAGCCAGACACAAAAGGACATATATTAAATTATTTCACTTATATCAAACACCCAGAATGACAAATCCATAGTAACGGAAAGTAGATTAGCAGTTACCAGAGACTGGGAGGAGGGGAAATGGGGAGTCGTTGCCGAATGGGTACAGAGTTTCGGTTTCAGATGGGAAAAAGTCTGGGAAACAGACTATAGAGATGGTTGCACAAGGTTGTAAATGTAATTAATGCCACTGAATGGTGCACTAAACAAATTTTGATTTATATATATATATATATATATTTTTATCACGATAAAATTTTTTAAATTCTCCCTTCCTTCTTTTTTTCCCATCATTGCAACAAAGAAACATAGGCTCCAAAGGAAAGAGAGGCGGAGGACAATCGTGAAAACAACAGCAGTTGAGTGCGCAATCCCACAGGAAAAAGTAAGGGCAGCCTTGGGTTGGTGGCAAACAGCGCCCCTCCAAAAAAAATCAGAGAAGTTCCGAATAAGACAAAATAAAGGGGTGCTGGTCCTGGTATCAGTCCCTGCTCACTGCTGCCTAAATTACTATCTTCCACGGCCTGTCAAGGTTGGGCAGGGCCATTGGGGCCCTCCACAGGCAACTATCCTGCATCTCAGACCGTATTGCACTCCACCCGCCACCCCCACAAAGCCAAGGTAATCAAGAAGAAAGGAAAAGGAAGCCTTTACCGAGTGCGTGCTAGGTCTCAGGAACTGTTTGTTCATTGCCTCATGAAATAGCGCATTTCATTTAAGGTTCTGGGAGCGGCTCCCGTTTTCCAGGTGAGGAAACTGAATGTCGGGCGGGGGCACACGGTCACGGGAAAGCCAGAGCAGGATTGCAGAGCAAGCGGTTATTTAGAAACCCCGCAGCTTCGTGCCAGCGTCCTCCTCAGAGCCACCCTCACCTCCTTGTTGCGCAGGGTGTACGCCACGGGGTTCAGCAGCGGCGTCACCACCGTGTAGAAGACAGCCACCAGGCGGTCCTGGTCAGGGTTTCCTCCAGACTGCGGCCGCAGGTAGATGATGGAGGCGCAGCCGAAGTGCACAATGACCACCGTGAGGTGGGCTGCGCAGGTGGAGAAGGCCCTGTGGCGGCCGGCGGCCGAGCGGATCCTCAGGATGGCAGCCCCGATGAGGGCGTAGGAGAGGAGGATGAGGAGGAAGGAGACCAGCACAACGAGGACGCTGAGGAAGAAGATGGCCAGAGCTTTGCCTGCACTCTCCCCGCAGCTAAGCTTCAGCACTGGGGCGATATCGCAGAAGAAGTGCTCCACACGGTTGCTGTTGCAGAAAGGTGAGGAGAAGATCATGCTGGTCTCGATCAAGGCCACTGAGAGCCCCCCACAGAAAACCAGGGCTCCCAGGCAGAGACAGACTGTAGGCCTCATGATCACCGAGTAGTGCAGAGGGTGGCAGATGGCTACATAGCGGTCGTAGCCCATCAGGGTCAGGAGGAAGCAGTGGCTGCAACCCAGACCCAGGAAGAAGAACATCTGTGCCCAGCAGACGGCGATGGGGATGGCTTGGCTCTCCATGAGCAGGTGGGCCAGCATGTTAGGGATGGTGACCAGCGTGTAGCAGGTCTCGGAGAGGGACAGCACTGCCAGGAAGCGGTACATGGGTGTGTGAAGGCTCCGATCCACATGGATAATGGTGATGATGGTGACATTGCCGCTGAGGGTGACTAGGTACATGAGGAAGAACAGCGTGAAAAGGGTGGTCCTCAGGCCTGGGAGGCTGGAGAAACCCACCAGCACAAACTCCGTCACCAGCCAGGTGGCATTTTCCCACTGCTTTTTAGGAGTCTGAGAAGAAAAGACAGGGTAAATGCAATAGAGCAAATGACTAAGGATCTCCCTCACAGCTGGGATTGGCAGGGCGAGAGAATCATCCTTGTTTTACAAAGAAGAAAAGAGAGACTCAGAAATGATGTCACTTGTTTTCCTAATATCATCCAGCTAGCAAGTGTCTCTTCAATAACAAGAAATCGTAGATATGGAGACAACCTGAGTGCCCATCAGCGGCTGAGTGGGCCATGGAGATGTGGTGATATGAACAGTGGAATATTTATTCAGTCATGAGAAAGACTGAAACCCCACCATGTGCATGGACGGACCTCAAGGGCCTTACTCTAAGTCACAGGTGGCAAACACAAGGCCCGCGGGCCGAACCTGGCCCTCCACCTTGTTTCATCCAGCCCAGCAGCACTGAGCTCTCACTTAATTGTTAAGGGTAGTTACATTTATACAGTCTAAAATTACATTTGGCCTTTAAAGGCAACAATCAGCCAATCAGCCAGGAGGCTGATGTGGCCTCCAGTGAAAATGAGTTTGACACCCCTGCACTCAGTGAAACGCGTCAGACAAAAAAAGACAAATACCTTATGATCGCACTCATATGTGGAATCTGAAAGAGTTAAACTCATAAAAAACAGTAAGGAGAGGAGAGATGTTTACGGGTACAAACTTGCAAACAGTAGATAAATAAGTCCTAGAGCTCTAATGCACAGTAGAGTGAATACAGACAACAATACTGTGTTATAATTATCAAACTTGCTAAAAGACTAGATCTTAATTATTCCCACCACACATACACAAAGACAATTCTGTGACGGGACAGAGGTGCTAATTATTGCTACAATGGCAACTATATTACAACATATAAATGTATCAAATTAACATGTTATACACCTTAAACTTAAACAATGTTATATGTCAAATACATTTCAATTTTTTAAAAAGAAAAGAAAATTACAGGAACCTATAAGGAGTAGATATTTGGAGTAGGGAGAGATAGTGAGCATACTATTGCTTTAATATGAGTCCCCTAGAACCATATCCTGAGGAAAGAATTCAAGAGCAAATAGTTTATCTGGGACATGACCTCCCAAAACACAGGTAGGGGAGTGGAGGAAGGAAACAGATAACAGAAGGTAGTTTGTCAAGAAAATCACCATCATGGGCAACGAGAATTTCACTCTGGTGTGTTTATGCATGAACCCCGCCTTTGTCATTGCTTGGGAGTTTCTGCCAGAAGACAGTAATCTCCCAGCACTTCCCACTTGCCACGTGTACAGGGAATTCAAGGAAATAATAAAAGCCAAGGGGATGTGGGCCAAGAATTTACAGTGTCTGCTACAGACCCGAGAACCGGAGAAAGAACAAGAGCAAGAACCCAAGAAAGACAAAGCTTCTGTCATTGTCATTTTCAAAATTTACTTAAATTTTATCAAAACTTAGTTTTTTTATACTTTAAGTCTGCAGTGATGTAAACATGAAGACAATCTTCAACCCTACCGCTTTGTTTATCTCTTCTGATCTCAAAAAGAAATTTCACCAACTTTATGGGCCCCCTTAATAGAACTGGGGGCCCTGGGCTTTGTGCCCAATGGACTTACCTCTACTCATTAAGTGGAAAGTAACTCTGAAATGCCCAACCATTTTAATTCAAATTATGAGACTTCAGTAGGAATCCTGAATTGTTATCATTGATTCCTCTATCTCAGGGGGAAAAAATCTATCTTGGGGTGTTTTTGAGAGCATTTGTACTCATTTGGAACATGGGACGCTGTCTGAAGGGAAATGGTCCTAATGCAATCTTTCCCTGCTTATCAAAAGTTCATTGGTTCAGAGATAAACATAGCTCAGCCTGGAGATCCTCCAGCACACCACCAGAGTCCCGATTTATCTGCCATCTAGTGGCACTTGGGGTAATCTGCAAGTCAGTGATCCTCACAGGAAGAGGGGGAAAAAATGAATGGCTCTGCCCCTAAAAAGACTCATCCACAGCAAGGGAGCAGAAGAAATGGACAATGATCATTTAAATGCTTTGGAAGTTTCCTGTAAGTTCAATTCTGGCAAAGCAAATTTTAGATTTTAGCTCTAAAAATATAGAAGAAAACAACAAAAATGTGGTTGGTCAACACTCTGGCCAGCGTGGCTCGGTTGGGCATTATCCTGTAAACTGAAAGGTCGCCATTTCAGTTCCCAGTCAGGGCACGTGCCTGGGTTGTGGGTTCAATCCTCAGTCAGGGCACGTGTAAGAGACAACTGATTGATGTCTCTTACATAAAGTCTTATAAAGACTTTAAATGTCTCTTACAACGTCTTTAACTCTTGAGTTCTCCTATCACTTGCTCCAGAGACATTCTGGTTACATTTCTCACATCAATGTTTCTCTCCCTCTTTCTCCATCCCTTCCTCTCTCTCTCTAGAATCAATAAAAGATTTCTTTAAGTGCTTGTGAAAGCAGAAAGTCAGCACTGGTGCTGCCTGTCACCAGCAGAACTAATCAGTTCAGCAGGGATTGAATCTGTATGGGTTCTGTATTGAGATGCCAGCAAAGATGGCAGGTGTGTGCCCTAAAATCCATCTTAACATCTCATCTCAAGCTGACCTTTCTATAAGGAAAAGAAAAGGGTAGGTAAGGGGTTTGGAGAAAAGGTCAATTAGGTAAGAGTTGCAGTCCAGCTGCGATTTTCCTAGTATTTCTTTACTTGCTGAGCAACAGTTCTTTATCTGCCTCTGGAAGACATCCCCTCCCCGGAACCCAGTGGCCCCAGGCCCCCTGGGGCACAAAGGTCGAATTGCTCCTCAGCCTCCCGGAGTCACATAGGCCAGGTGTTCTGGCTCCGGGAACAGCAGCTTTCCACAGGCGTGAATCACTTAAGCCTCTCAGCTGGAACCATGGCTAAAATATTTAATTCTTTTTTAAAATTTTTATTAATTTTATTTTTAGAAAGAGGGGAGGGAGGGAGAGAGGGAGAGAAAGATTGACTGGTTGCCTCCTGCACGCTCCCAACTGGGGACCCGGCCCACCAACCAGGCATGTGCCCTGAAGTGTACAGGCCTACACTCAATAGACAGAGCACCGGCCAGGGCTAAAGTCTTTAACTCTTGAGTTCTCCTATCACTTGCTCCAGAGACATTCTGGTTACAAAGATAAGACCTGGCCAGGTGGCTCAGTTGGTTGTACATCCAAAAGTTGGGGGTTGGCTTCCCCGTCAGAGCACAGACCCAGGCTGCTGGTTCGATCCTGTGGGGTGCGTGTGGGAGGCGGCCAACGTCTCTCTCTTTCCCTCCCTTCCTCTCTCCAAAAAAAATCAATAAACATCCACAGGTGAGAATTGTTTTTTAAAAAACTGAATGTGAAAAAAAAGAAAAGATAAGACAAGTCAGGACCATTGAAGAACTTAACAGAAGCAAATAGGCAATGAGGAGGATGCCTATTTTTTTTTTTCAGGAAGAAAGGAAAAGCAGTTAGCAGGAAGCAAGCAGCCGTGTTGATGAAGCCCAGGGGTGCACACGGTTTCTGTACAAGCTGTGTCACACATGTAAGCGAGTGTCGTGGCTGTGTTTCAATAAAGCTGTATTTACAAAAACAGGCAATAGAGCGGATTTGGCCCTGAGGGTGCAGTTTGCCAACCCCTGACCTGGCACGAGTAAACCTAAAAGAATATGCAGTGTAGGAAAACTCCAGTGAGACCCTCTAAAGGGTTTGCTATGAAAAAACAAGGGAAGCCTGACTTGAAAGCTTCAGAAACTAAAGCAAAATGCAAGTCCAGAAACACAAATCTCTGCCTCCACTTAGGAAATCCAGATCTGAGAAGCAGCACACTGGGCAATACACCCAGAGCATACATCTGAAAGGGACCCTTTTATGTAACTTAATATCAGAGAAGTGAAGTTACTGTAACTTAACTTCAGAGCCCTTATAGAAAGGGAATGATAAGAACTCAATTACCTAGAAGACTTCACAGAGCAAGAAGTATTCAGGCATGACTATCAAAAAACACAGTTTCTGAATATCATGAAACATTGTTAATGCATGAATAGGTAAAACAAAAATTGATTTTTTTCTCACTCTCTCTCTTCCCCCTCCCTCTCTCCAAAAATCAATCAATAAAAATACATGAAATATATATGTAAATAATTTCTGAATATCATGAAACACAGTTAAATTGAAACAAATTTACAGGCAAACTGCAAACTAGAAAAGGCTGTGATCCTAAAAAGTGTTTAGTAACTCTATAATCATTAGGAAGAAATGAAAACTTCCAGTTCTAAATCAGTCCTGGGGATGTAATGTACGGCATGGTGTCTGTAGCACTGCATTGTATATTGTAAAGTTGCTATGAGAGTAAGTCTTAAAAGTCCTCATCACAAGAAAAAAAATTGGAACTATGTGTGGTGACAGATGTTTACTGCACTTGTTGGGTTGGTCATTTTCAAATATGTACACATATCAATCTTACATCTGAAATTAATACCTTACAATTCAACTATACTTAAATTTAAAAAGAAGAAGAAGAAAATGAACACCCAGGCCCCCTCCCAAAATTCATGAAATCAAATTAAGGCTCATATACCATATGACTGAGTATTTAAAATTAACAAACAGCTCAATGAAATATGTTCTAACTCCTCACATTGAGAAACATACCTTCATAATTACCTGGAAATGGCTTACAGGAACAAGTCAGACCTTCCCGGGCGTCTTGAAGATGCCTTCAGTGTAGGAGGCTGTTCTACCACAATTACCCAACTTCTACCCACATGCCTCCAGGGACTCCCTGAGAAACATTCCATGACAAAGAGCAGAAATTCTCAGCTCAAAACAGCCCTTCTGTGACCTGAGCTCTGGAATCAGACAGGCCTACATTTGAAGGTTGGTGCCTTCTTACTGGGGGCAGTATGACCCTGGGCATCTGGTTTTGCCCCATGAGCCTTATCTGTGAAAGTGGAGACTGCCCTGGCTGGGTGGTGGCTCAGGTGGTTAGAGCATGAGCTGCATGCACCAAAACATTGCACGTTCGATCCCCGGTCAGGGCACATGAAGCTGATCTCTCTCTCTCTCTCTCTCTCTCTCTCTCTCTCTCTCTCTCTCAGTGATGTCTCTCCCCACCCTCAATCAATAAAAATATCCTCAGGTGTGGAGACTGATCCTGTGAGCTCACAAATAATTTCATAAGATTCCCTGAACAATGCTGTAAACCCTTTGGTCTCAGACTCCTTGCGAGGAGAAACAGGATTGTTCTTGGCTTTGCACTGCTGGGGAAGGGGAGCACTGACGGGATGATCTGCTCACATTCTCACCATTGAGGTACCAAAGCCAGAGTGCAGAGCCAGGAGTCTGTCTCTGGAAGCAGTGCTTTAAGGGGCTGCGGGTTTGCGGGCTCACCTTTCTTTCATTCTACACACACATTGAGCACCTGTTCTGTGCTGGGAGCTGTTCTGGGCACTGAGGACACAGCAGGGAACTAAACAGATGGAGATCCCAGCCTTGGAGGAGCAGAACGTTCTAGAGGGCATAAGCAACGCACGTGATAGTGAAACTACATATCAGAAAATAAGTGCTACAGAGAAAGATAAGCGGAGCACTTAATCGAGGGATCTGAGGAGGGCTGCAGTTTTACATCGGATGGTCAGGGAAGGGCTTGTTGGGGGTTAATGTGCAGTCGCCCTGGAATTTCTTGTTTCCCCTCCCTCATGTTCAGATCTCACAGCTGGGGCTGGGGATGGGCCCAGGTGGCTTCTCCAGACAGGCAAAGGCCCTGAATTCACACTTGAAAGAAATGAGCAAATCAGTCCAGACGCTATTAAGGGGAGAGTGTCCTAGGTGGAAGCGACAGCCAGCGCAAAGCTGTGAGACTGAACTGTGCAGGGAACAGCAGCAGCAAGGGGAAAGAGGGACAGAAAGAGTGAGTGTGAGGCAGGAAGGCAAGGGCAGAGAGCGAGGAGAGCTTGTTCCGTGGGGCCTTGTGGGTCGAAGTGAGAACTTCGGCTTCTGCACCGAGTGACGTGGAAGCCATGGAGGGCTGGGAGCAGAGCAGGGGTGTGACCTAACTCAGGTGTGCCCAGGTGCCCTCTGGCCGCTGGGGGAGAACAGAGTTCAGGGAACATGGGTGGGGAGGACGGGAGCTGGAGTGGGGTGGGGACCGTGGAGGTGGTGAGATGGCGAATTACAGACAGATCGTGCAGGTGGAGCCCAGTGAATTTCCTGACAGGCTGAGGTGTGGGTGTGAAGGGCAGGGTGTGGGAGCTGGAGTGCGGCAGCAGGAGGGCGGGTGGGACCCAGCCAGCCAGGAGTCAGAGGGGACCAACTCTTCAGCTCGGGGAATGCCGGGGGCAGACACACACCCAGCCTGGTGGCTCATGCAGACAGCCAGGCCCCAGTCCACCCTCCCCACAGAAGTGGCACCTGTGCCAGCCCCCTGCAGTCACCCCAGAAAGAAGGAAGAAGAGGGACTTCCCAAATGGGGCTGACATTTAACCCTGCAATATCTGAGAAGTCGTGACTCTGAGTTTGCCTCAAGGTGTCCAAATTGTGACAAAAGGAAGTCAGGTTACAGGACTAGAAAGTTCCTTATTTTCATACCTAGAACCTATGAAAATTGCACCTATGGAGAGATCCCCAGGCTAGCTGTCTGCTTGGTGGGAGGGTAAGAGGGAGCCCGTGGGTGCTGAGCTCAGGGGCAAGCCCATGCCACTTCCACAGTGAGGGTAAGGAACAAGGAACATAGGGGGTTAGGGTCTGGAGTCTTTTCCTCTTTCTTCTCATCAGGAGGCACCCCTCCCTCAAAAGCAGAAGTGCCATCCCACCACCTTTGAGCCCTTGCCACTGAATGACTCTATGTGGGTATGTGTGCGTTCATGCCTATGAAGCTCCCAGGTACATGTGTGCATGTCTGTGCCTGCTGCTTGCAGGCACGTGTGTGTGCACTTGGTACCCTGTGTGCTCAGACCACACATGAGCTGGGGGTAGGTTTGGGGTGGCTTCCCCAGCCCAGCAAAGACCCCGAATACACACTCACCATGGCCAAGGTTCTTGTCTGCCTGCATCGCTCACTGCTCACCACCTGAGAGGGGAGGGGCTGAGGACCTGGGTCCTTTTATATAGGGGGTCCCTAGAGCTGCTGTCCCAGGGACCCCCAGCCACTAACAAGCCCCCCCAGCCACTAACAAGCCCCCCAGGGCTCAGGCTGATGACACCCTGAGGGTTTTTTCCCTCCTGGAAACTAGAGACCCCAGGGTCTGCTTCTCCAGCCCCCAGGCTCTCATGGCAAAAAATAGGAAAAGACTAATTATGATTTCTTCTTGTGAGTAGCTGTCACAAATGCACTCCTCACTTTATCAGTGCTCCCCAGGGCCCTCAGTGTCCGCTGCGTGCTGGGCAAGGCTGCTACCCCGGGAAAATGCATCCCAGCCTGCCCTCAAGGCAGGAAGGAAGAAGTGGATCACTTGATGTTGTTACACAAATGTCGCCCCACTTAACTTCTCAGAGTGACTGAAGCCCCTCCATCCCTCTCTCTTGGCTGTCCCCAGAATTCATTAGTTGCTAAGTCTTCTCTACTCTTCCTCCTCCATTTCCCCATCCCCTCCATGTGCCCTAACTCAAGCTGCAACATTCTCCCCTATTGCAAAATCTCGCAGTATCGCCTTCATCTAGTCTGTCCTCTGCACTGGCCACCAGAACAAGGGCTCCAGCTGTGTGCCCTCTCTATTCTGGAACCTTCCATGGCTCCCCGCTGCCCTCAAAGTTTAAAATTCTCTGTCTTCACATGTATGATTCTTGTGATCTGGCCCCTGGTAACTTCTCCAGTTCCAAATCCAGCCACTGTTCCGTGCAAACCAACACACGTCCATGTGTTAAATTAATAAGGAAGGGAGGCGTAACCACAGCCATTCCAAATTGCTAACCCTTCTTGTGAGATGTCCATGCCGTGTCACACCGGTTTGCCCCTCCCCTCCTCCGAACCTGCTGGCAAACTCCTGGTCCCCCTGAAAGACACATCCCCAGTATAAGAAAGATCTACACACACCTTTATCCGTTCATCTGCTGACGGACATTAGGTTGTTTGCATATTCTGGCAAATGTGCACCTTGCTGCAGTGCACACAAGAGCTCTAGCTGAGAAATTCAACCTCATGAACTGAATGTCATGACTGGACATGAGTACAGTCTCATGATTTTGCAAACTCCCACTGTGTACCAACACCTGCCGTATCTTGAGTTCTCCCAGAAGCAGAGGCAAAGATGTGAGTAGAAGTAGGTTTATTTTCAAGGTGATCCCAGAAAATACAAGCAGGGGAGTGATGAGAAAAGACGGGAAAAAAGCTAACAGAGCCTGTGTCACCAGGCAATGCCTTGTGTGGCAGCTGGGGTTCCTTCCACTGGAACCCCCTAGGAAGCAGCAGGGGGTATTTATTAGTTGCTTCCACAGAATTCCTGCTTCTACAAACCTGATTGCCCCCCAGGTTCCCCCAACCCCGGTTCCAGGGCACAGACTGATTGCTTTAAGGAATCAGTGCTTCCCATATCCCATGGCCATAGTGACTGAATAGAGCAGCCGTGCTGAAAAGCAGTGCCCACCACCAACACCACGGGACAACTGGCAATGCCTGGAGACACTTTTGGTTGTCACAGTGAAGGAGCATCTAGTGCGTAGGGACCAGGGATGCCATTAAACATCCCTCAATGCACAGGCAAGCACCCTCTAGCAAAGGATGATCTGGCCCCAAATGTCAGTTGTGTCAACGTTGCAAAACCCTCAGTAAGAGGATGGGCGCATGATCCAACTGGAGCCAATACAAAATCAACCCCAAGATTAGAAGCTTCTTAGTCCCCCGTCAAGTGCAACATGCACCAACTTTGCAACAGATGGAAGGCTAAAGCTGTGCAGGTGGGAAGAGAAGTAGGGCTGGACACCACCTGGAGCCAGAGGATGACGCTAATACCCAGAGAAAAATCTGTAGAGATGAAGAGAAAGCCAGCCCTTGTCTGAGTCACTACATCAAATTTCTCCCGAGACTGGTCCTTTTCAGTTACATGAGCTAATGAATTTTTTGTTTTATCTAAGCCAGCTGGGTTGACTTCTGGGTCACATGCAACCAAAGGCACTCCAAGTGATGGGGAATCAGTGAACACTATCCCATCCTCTTTTCCTGGACAATACCAGTGTGAACACAACCTCATCTTGCAACACAATTAGGTATGAGACATAGAACCCACCCAAGTGTATGTAAAGGAGCACTTATTACGTGGATGCAGTGTGGTCTCCAGCCCCCAAGGAAGCCTGAGGTGGAGGTGACTTTCAAGCAAAACCTGCATCAGGCACTTAGAAGGCAACAAACAACAGTGCTGTCAAGGGGATGGCCACTCAATGAACTGTAGTGGAGACTTCTGAAACTGAGACCCCTTCCAACCTGACAACCATTTGGCACTCATCTGATTCTCCCTGCATATTAGCTCCATTCCTCTGTTGTTTGCAGAAGTGCCCGCCACTCCAAACTGGCCACCCATACTTCTTAATCTGCCTGCTGGTGGCCTTAAAAGCTCCACCAATGGACTGATGGCTTTCTTTGCATTTTCAGTAAACGTTTTCAAATAAATCTGATTGGCTCATCCTAAGTCAGGTGGCCACCCAGATCCACTCAATGGAGTCATTAGACAAAAGAGGAAGAAGTAGATGTAGGCAGGCAAGTCGAATGGGTTTAACCAGATGGGAACTCAGGTTAGCTTTGGAGAGACAGAAGCCCCACCA